CTTTTTCTTTTTTATTATTAAGGCTTCCATTATTTTTAGTCTTTTTCTTTACATGTGGATGACTTTATTATATTTATATTTCCTACTAGTATGTTTCGGATGACGTCTGGTAATTCAGTGTGTGTGTTTAAATGGATTCTAATGGATCTGTGGTCGAGTGGGTGTTAAAAAGTCAAACTAAAATCATCCTTGATGATTTTATAGTATATCCGAAATCATTCGAAATTACAAAACATTTGGACAGTTTCTACACACTGTGCCCAGAAAAGAAAACACTTGTTCGAACACAAGAAAAAATTAATAAAAAGATTAATCTAAGTACCTTTTTTTGTCATCTTTAATGAAACATGTATAAATGAAGGATTGTTGCCTAAATACACGCACACGCAGACACACACTTTTCACACTTTTCACACGCACACACACACATATATATATATATGTGTGTGTGTGTGTGTGTGTGTGTGTGTGTGTGTGTGTGTGTGAAAAGTGTGAAAAGTGTGTGTATATAAATATAAATAAATAAATATATATATATAATTATTTACATATTATATGCGCGGTACCTATTAGAAAGCGCTCAATATCAGAGATAGAGCTAACATATTTGGTTGGATTGATGTGAGTTTGTGACCCTGGCTTTCACGCTCTTGCGATCGTCAGACAAAACTATATATATATATATATATATATATATATATATATATATATATATATATATATATGATATCTGAAATCTGTTTGAAACTTTTTCAGTCAGTTTGAATGCCTTGAGTCACGGTGATGGTCCCTTGATTTAATTTACCAACCAGTTAGAGGAGACCTTACTAAACATGGATGGACAGATGCTCCCTGCAAGTTACTCAGTCAGGAATGAATCAACAGTGAATGATCACTTAGACTATGTGACTATTGCATTTATCATGACAATGTGCTTAGGAATTCTTCAAAATTTTGGTACTTTTTTTATTTTTTGGTGGTGGCATGGAGGATAAGACAAAACATGGCATCTCTCAGCTCCGTCAGAGTCCACTACTGTCGAAATTTGCTTCAATGCGACTCCTGTTTCTTATTTTCAAAAGTAATATCCCAATTGCTAGGCAGACTGTGGACGAGATTAAAGAGAACGCAAAAATGTTGCTGAAGGCGATACCGATAAAACGCTTCCATATATTGAACGCAAGGCTGGTATAAGTGTATGAGATTCAAAGAAGAGTAGTTTTGAAAGAAACTAAATAGCCTTTCCCCTCGGTTGATTAAGTTATCATTAATATCATATAGGCGGTTTCTTTCCGGATTTCGTATACGCTGGTGTAATTATTTCTCTTATCTCCTACCTTCTTTTGCATTGTATATCTTCTTATGTATTTCCCGTCATATATTACCCATTTTCGCAATTCTTTGCCAATTTACATATCTATCTATACAAAGCCTTCCCGACCCTCCCTACCATTCCTTCATCGGCAAGTCTTTCCTTTGCTCACCTCATCTGTACAAGCCTATTGTTTGTTCATCACTCTTCCTACGCATTTTTTAAAAACCTATCTGTCTGGCTGTCTTTCTATCCGTCTGTGTGTCTCTTGGGACAGTGGACAATAATGGTCACCCGGTCAATCAGAAAGTGTGCCGTCAGGTGGCGCAAGCAGTCTTGCATGACGACTACGGCCAAGCCAAACCATCACCCTCACTACCACCATCTCCTTCCCTACAAATTTCCCCTCCTCCACCTCTCCCCCACCCCCCACCGAGCTGCCTAGACGATTGTTATTTCTTCTGACCGCCATCATTCTACCTTTCTCTCTTACTCTCACTATCAATACATTTTCATTGGTTGGCGCAATGTCAAACCGCAAGAAACAACCTCTTCCTCTTTCTTGTAGCCATTTCCATATCTGCCTGTTTCTGGCGCGACGCCAAGAATTTTCGCTTATTTGAATCTGCCATCTTCTTCTTACTCTCCCTCTGTAGCCTTACTCTCCCTCACTTATATAAAGTTCTTACTCTCCGTCTTAACCTTATACTTCTTTCTTATACGGCTGTTATAATCCTCTTCTGTATCATCGTTACTCTCCACTTTCGATGCTCATTCTTACTCTTCTTCTCTTTTGTCTTCCTTACTCTCCTTCGATCTCGCTTTTGCTTTCCTACTCTTCGTTCTCATCTTACGAGACATCCTGTGAGATCTCAGCTTAACTCTCCCTAGCATATGTTTCATTATCAGTTTCTCTTTGTGATTTCTGTTTTTGTTTATCTCGTCATTACAATTTCTCTTCTTACCTTATCTGCTGTCTCATCCTTGCTCTCCTCTTTACACGCTCCTTGTTCTATCACGTTTTAATCTTTCATTTCCTCACCATTTTGTCTCTCGCACAGCCTCGCCTCACCCACGCTTGTCTCCGTTCCCTCTCTCTTTATTCCTGTTAACCAATCCTCCACTTTCTGAAGACTTCACTTACTCAAGTGTCGACTGGCATTTCTCAGTATTTATTCTCCTCTTTACTTGTTGTACTACAGCTCTCCATTCCTAAACACCTTTCTCTCGATGCTGTACTTCTCTTTTGTCTATCTCTGTGTTTTATTCCGTCTGTCACTTTCCATTTTCACAAGTTCTCTCCCAGTCTCTTATACTTACACTTTTTCCTGTCTATCGCCCTTTCTTTAGCGTAGCACTTTTTTTTCTTCGTAGATATTTACAAAGCATAGCTTAGTCGAAACCACAAAAGCACAAGCATGGCGTCTCGCAATGAGAGTTGGACACACTACGGTAGTAAAGCTCTGCTAGATGAGCTTAGTAACCAGTATTTCATATCTTTAAATAACTCGTTTAATATTCTCACAAAAAGGATTCGTCCCAGTCTGTTTCCTCATTGAACCGAAGGTCTGTTTAGACTTTTATTTAAATACTTTCTTTCTTTCACGTCAGCATCTCCAAATCTATCAGTAATACGCTCTTTACTTGTGACTGATCTTAATATTAAAAATTTATTTTGATTGACCTTCGTAATTACTTACTCTTTTTTTTAATGTCGGCTCCTTTCATGATGGTGGCTCTCTACAGCATCCCTTTCTTTTCAATATCTGGGAGTTTCCATCTCTTTAACATAGAAAAAAAAATTTTTTTTTTTCTTTAGTATCTTCATTTTCTCTCTACATTTTTTTTAGTAACCAATAACATTCAGTCAGTTTTTCCTACTAAATCTTACCTACCCAATCAGTTATGTGCCATGCGTGATACACGCTTAGGCGATCATGTATCTTTCGATACATGACTGACGAGGCAGATTTTTCCCGCAGTAGGTTGCCATTTCTTTCTGCGGTAGACCGGTTGCCATCGAAGGCTATAGAACCCGGTCTGTCCTGTTATTTACCTATAGGTGGGGGTGGAGAGAAGAAGAGGATTCATAGCTTTCCCAAGGGTTTTTAGTACGTAAGTGAATGTAATGGATTTGAGTGGAGTTCGAACTCGACTCTCCGATTCCTTAGTCCGAGCCATTACTCCATCTTGCCTTCCTGACTTTAATATAGAAAAAAAATTTTTTTTTTCTCTATCTTCATCTTCTCTCTGCTGCTTTTGTTTAATGTAGAAAAAAGAATAAATATAATATTTAATATAGAAAAAATTCAAGATTTTTTTCTCTCTTTATTTTCTCTCTGCTTTTTTTAGTAACCAGTAACGTTTAGTCAGTTTTTCTCACTAAATCTTACCTACTACCTACATTATGTTGTTCTTTAACATCTTGTTATTTGCTGAAACGCCGAATATTCGCGTGTTTTTCTTTAAAACATATGCTCAAATTATTCGCTGAAATAATTCGCTTTTTCGATAGAACATATTTAAAGTCTGTCTATATTTCTGAGATGAGGTATTATGTACAGTATTTACATTAAGGACCTAATTACCTCAAGGACACATGGCACAGTGGATAAAGGCGTTGGTTAGATCCAGTGACAGACCCAAAGAAGGTGCGTTCAATACCCGGTTAAGGCAGTGGAGAACTTTCAGAGGGAAAATTAGCAGGAGATAACTGATAACTGACATCCATCAAACATGGCACGTGGAACTAGAACAGTCTACCCCAGTGATCGAAATTCCAACCACCTGAAGAAGGCCGGAGCGTACAACGGCCGAAACGTTGTGACAAATATGGCGACAAAGATGCGGACAATAACTCGACTAATGTAAATACTGAACATATTTAAAATATTCTTGTATTATTTTCCTCTTATTAAGTGGCTTAAAACATATAACAGTTCATTTTTATGGTAAAAATTGGCAGTATTTTTATCTTCATTGTAAAAAACAAAACGCAAGAACATGCGAAGGCTTTGTTCTTTGTTAGGGGCTGTTGCTGAGGTCTTAAAATTGGCTTATGCTAAGTTTGGCGGCATCATCACGGTTCTGTTTTTAAAAAATGTTTTAAACTTTATATTTTATGTCTTGCTACACATATTTTATACAGTATTTTCAATGGTTGTATCGATCTATGCGTAATTAAAAACGGTTATTGTACATATGAAAGAAAATTTACGCTAAGTGTTTGGTCACCAATACTGTTTTTCAAAAAGGTTTAAAAGGGTCTGAAATGTTTCTAAAGTGTTTAAAATGAAAGTTTAAGGCGTATGCGGTTTTAACAATGAAAATAGGTACTTATAAGCACTTTTTTGTGGGGGTTACATGTATTCGCGGATTCTAACTATTCGCGTCTAGTTCTGGTCCCTAACTCCCGTGAATACGGAGGACTCACTGTACGTCACTTGATATCTCCAATTACTATTTTCTTAAGGACTACGGTGTCTTCTTATTTGACTGATTGTTATGACTTATTTTTCTTTCTAATTCTCTTCGTCTTTTCACTTCTGAAAGGTCCTATTTTCAATTAAATCTCAGTACAATCATTAATTTCATTTTTATTTGCCTTATTTTTCATTCCTATCTCCTTTAGCCTGTCCTTTAGATCCATTTTGTTTTTTGCATTCGCGGCTTTTTTTCTAATCATATTTATTCAGTTCATGAACTTTTTTTTAATATCGTTTTCTTTATTCCAATTATCGCACTATATTTAATAACCAGAATCGAATAAGGAAGATTTGAGTTGCATCTATTCTATAAGTGACGACGGTTTGTCCACCTAAAAAATCAGGATTCGAAAACGTAGAGTTTGAACACCGATGCCGGGCGGAAATACACAACTTCTTGATACATCATGCATCATTGGTTTCTCTCTCTCTCTCTCTCTCTCTCTGTGTGTGTGTGTGTGTGTGTGTGTTTTCACCATTCAACCATCTGTATCATGAGTACAAATTCATAAAATTCCCTAGTCTTACTGCTCTTTCTTTTCCTTTTTTTCAAGCCTCGCATTATTTTTCCTCCGTTGCTAAGGCTATCTATCTATCTATCTATCTATCTATCTATCTATCTATCTATTTTTGTGTTCATATCTATCTATTTCTGTGTTCATATCTATCTAGCTATCTAGCTATCTATCTATGTGTTCATATCTATCTATCTATCTATCTATCTAAACCGGTCATATGTACCTATAACGATCTGTCTGTTTCTTTCTTTCTGTCTTTCTTTCGTTCTTTCTTTCTGTCTTATCTCAGTTCATTCATATCTCTCTCTCAATTTTATAATTATATATCTATCTATCTATCTATCTATCTATCTATCTATCTATCTATCTATCTAAACCCGGTCATATCTACCTATACCGATCTGTCTGTTTCTTTCTTTCTTTCTTTCTTTTTTTCTTTTATCAGTTCATTCATATCTCTCTCTCAATTTTATAATTACATAATTATAATCTATCTATCTATTTTATCTATCTATTATCTATCTCAGTCTATTCATCTCTTTTTCTCAATTTTATCATTATCTCTCTGTATATATATTATATATTATTATATATATATATATATATATATATATATATATATATATATATATATATATATAATTATAGTATCTATCTCTGTATATATATATGTATATATATATATACCAGTTTATCTATTTCTCTTTCAGTTTTATCTATCTATCTATCTATCTATCTATCTATCTATCTATCTATCTATCTATCTATTCATTCATCTCTTTCTCAATTTTATCATTATCTATCTCTGTATATATATATATATATTATCTATCTCTGTATATATATATATATATATATATATATATATATATATATATATTATATCTATCTCTGTATATATATATGTATATATATATATACCAGTTTATTCATATCTTTCTCTTTCAGTTTTATCATTATCTATCTATCTATCTATCTATCTATCTATCTATCTATCTTCTTTCTTTGTTTCTACTTAAATTGTTTCTCTTCTCAGCAGCTGCTACTTTTACATCTGTTTTATCATTCAGTGAACACATAATTTTCCCAATCATTATCATTTTAGTGATCACGTGGACTCTCTCACTCCCGCCATTAGATTCTTTCCTCACTTTCTGACACGCCTCTTTTCTTTGCACACATCGCTTCTCTTCATTTTTGCTTTTTTAATTCCATTCTTCTTCTTCTTCTTCTTCTTCTTCTTCTTCTTCTTCTTCTTCTTCTTCTTCTCTTTTTATACAAATCTGTTTTACTTGTCTTTCATTCTCATTCGCTTTTGCTTCCTGCAACTTTCACTTTCACTTTCTTGAAATTCTTCCTTACATCTTTCTTCTTCTTCGGTTTCCATCCGTTTTCTTTCTTTTTAACCAGCCAATTGTTTAATACCACCATTATGCATACCTATTATTGCTTTTAAGCTTTGCATGGTATTGCGCATGGTCAAATATTTTCAGGAAGTTTGCGTTACGCTAATCTTTCAAATAATAAAAGGCTATCTTCCTAGAAAATCTGCATTCGAATTCTTGAATTTTTTTACTCGGGCTCGAATATCACCTTCTAGCACTGTTTGGGAATATATACATTCCAGGCATATTTTTCAAGATATTTATCGGCACTCTGTTAAACCCTTCGCCCGAGGTGTTCCTTATTTATTTTTCCGTTTTTATTTCTCTTTCGGGCGGACTAGTTTTAAGTTACACTAGGCTGGTCTCACGGATTATTATGACTGAATAGCGAGTTCGATCCTCACTGAGTGCCACATGCTTGTGAGCTGGACTATTCTCCTTGGTTAGTGCCAACAGGTTTTCATTTACGTCCACAAACAGTTTCAATTTTCAATCCATTTTCTTTGAGTTCTTCAAGATTCTCTCTCCATTTTTTATTTCTCCTCCTCCTCCTTCTTTCTGCATTACTCTTTTAAAATTAAGTTTCTCTTTCTTACTATTCCTGGGTTTGATGATAAACTACATCCAGTAGCAAAGCCTCTGCTCGGAGGATTAGACGTTTTGAGGAGCCTGGAATCACCTCTTAATTATTGTTGTTCTCAGGTCCACCCTAACCCGGGGTGGTAGCACCTGTTAGGGTCGCAGCTAAGGGCAAGTTGTGAAATCACAGGCGAAAACGAAACACTATGAAAGTATAAAAACCCATTTTCATAATAAAAATACTAGGAATTCATTTTTGTATAAAAAAATTTACCAACAATACATATTTATAGTAAAATTAAAAACACTATTTTTCATCTGGAGTTGAAACCATAAAACGACTTACAAAATGTTTAATTTTGGCATTAAATAACCCATCTCCTTACTATATACATTTCAGGCATATTTTTCAATCAAAATATTTAGATGTCGGCATTAAATAACCCATAGAGGTGTTGATTTGCCGCTAAAGAAAATCAACGAAGCCAATCAAAATATTTGGATTTCGGCATTAAATAACTTATATTGGTGTTGATATGCCGTAAAACAGAAACAAACCGACCAAACCAATCAAAATATTTAGATTTTGGCATTAAATGACCCATAGAGGTGTTGATGTGCCTGTAAAAAAAATCAGCCAACCTATCTTTCTTACTATTTCATTTTCAGCTCTGCGTCCTTTTCGTCATTCTTTCCAATAAGTGATTTCTCTCTCCCCCTCTCTCTCCCCCTCTCTCTCTCCCCTCTATTTCCCCTCTCTCCCCCCTCTCTCCCTCTCTCTCTCTCTCTCTCCCCCTCTCCCCCTCTTTCCCCTCTCCCCTCTCTCCCTCTCTCTCTCCCCTCTCTCCCTCTCCCTCTCTCCTCCCTCTCTCTCTCCCCTCTCTCTCCCCTCTCTCCCCTCTCTCTCCATCTCTTTTTCCTCATTCTTTCCTGGCAATGATTTCTCTCTCTGTCCCTCTTTGTCTCTCTACTTTTCTGTATTTCTTTGTCATTTTGTCTCATTCTTTCCAACCATAGTTTTCTCTCTCTCTCTCTCTCTCTCTCTCTTTTCCTATAACGCTTACTTTTTCTTTCTTTCTCATTTTTCCTATTATTTCTTTCCAGGGATATCTTTCTTTGTCTTTTTCTTTCCTTTCCTCTGTTTTTCTCATTCTTTCGTTTTATTGACTTCACTTTCTCATTTTTACACTTTAAATCATTCGTCTAATTAATTAACTTTCTTTTTCTTCTTCCTTTTCTATAACGTTTAGTACTGAACTAGTGAGAATCGAACTCACTTCACTAGCTACTTGCTTAGCGGACGAACTTGCTAGCCACTCCCCTAATCCACTAAACGCCTATTCAATAACTATAAAGTTTAACGCAGTCCATCACGAGGTTGAATTTTCAGAGCACCCAGTAAGGATCAAATTCAAGTAAAAGATTGTTACGTTAGCCTGATAATCATTGTGCCCACACTGACGCATCAAGCATAGATTAATACAGTACCAGACTAAAGAAGAAGAAACATAATTGTTATGGTCCCGTTCCTTGTACCACGGTGATAGTCCAAGGTAGAACCAATAAAGAAGAACTCGAACACGGATATGGAATAACACAAATATATTACAAACAGGAATATATACAGAGAAGAAGATAGTGTTAGTACAAACAATCAGGTTTAGTAGTAATTGTCTGAACGCGACTCTGTTTTGGACTGCCTCTGACTCGACTGACTGACTCGCTCGCTCTGACTGACTGACAGACTCCTGACGGACCTCACTCCAGACTTCAGACTGAATTCAGACTTCAGACGGAACTCCCGACTTCAGACGGAACTCCCTGCTTACTCTTGAGGCGCAGTATTTATTACGCATGGCATAGTCCATTATGTTATTATGGGTAAGGTCGCCTAACAATAATTAGGAAGACTGTATTGCTTCAGCACTCCTACAGGAAGTGGCCTTCCTTCTTTTCATCTATAACAAACTTGATACGACACTGCTGAGATAGATGTGTATTTCCTACACTAGTAAAAGCAGTAGGTTGGGTGTTGGTGCAAACATTATCAGCTTCCATGATAAATTTTTGCTGTATCTACAGATGCTGATCATAGTTGTTGTTCATCATGATGGTCGTCTTCGAGTATAGAATCCAGAGGTTAGCAGTGAATATTTCGAAGACAGTAGGGAAGCGTTGTTCAGGTTAGCAGTGGATATTTCGAAGACAGTAGGGAAGCGTTGTTCAGGTTAGCAGTGGATATTTCGAAGACAGTAGGGAAGCGTTGTTCAGGTTAGCCGTGGATATTTTGGTAAAAGTAGCAGAGTGTAGTTCGTCGTTCTGTTTCTCTTCGCCTGACAAGCTGGCACTGGACATTCGGATAGAGTAAACAAAATGGCCGCCTTTATAGACGATGGATTGAATGTTCTACGTCTTCTGATTGGTTAATCTTCTATTGGTGGACTATAAAGTGAGTCAAGTCATTTGGGTTGGCTCACTAGTAGATATATACACAAAAAACTGCAGCAATAGTATATATAAAGAACTTGTGACAAACTTAAACCTTCATGTCCATAGAAACAAAACAAAAACGCTGTGTCAAAAGAACATTTATTTAAATATTTAAAGTCATTTAAATATTTATTTAAATACCTTAACACCATTGGCAATGTTTATTGTCTTAGAACCGTATAAAACTTTATTTATACATTTTCTTTGTTCTTGAGACTAGACAACAAAAATAATAAACACTTAGATTGTTTATTTGTACTATTTACTTATTATATTCTTATAAGTTTGTTCAGGTTAAGGTTGATCATCTCTGACAATGGTGACCTAGTCAGGGTTAAAAAATTAAATACAAAACCTTCAGGGTTAAATGTTATTTATTTAATGTTTCCTATGTTTTTAATATATATAAATCATAGCATGCTTTGTTGCACAAGCAGTAGCATGCAAAAGGCGGGAACAGAAGGTGCAACGACCCTGGACATCCATATCGGGCGGGCATCTAATCAAAGAGTGAAATAAAAAAAATAGTAGTTTATAGATAATATGAATAAAGTCTTTATTTCATCTATTTTTACATATTTAAAATGTCTTACTTTCTCACATTTCTCAGTCCTAGGCCCTCTATCCCTCACCCTACTTGAGGGCATATAATCACCGTCTTAAGGGCATGCAATCAAGGAGTTGGCCCCCGGGAATCACTAAACCTCTGCCTACAAGAATGAACAGCATTAATTAGCAAGTGGTACACCCTGCATAAATATACTCAGCATGAAGATCATTACAAAAAGATGTCAGTGATTTTTAGCTCTATGCAAACTGTTTTGTTTTTATCTCAATGCAAACTGTGAACAGTTAATTTCAGTGTAAAGTTTGTTCAGGTTATGTCAATGGTGACATGGTCAGGGTTAAAAATTGAACAAACAAAAGCGTCAGTGTTAAACATTAAATAAAAGAAATACTGGGAGACAACCAATCATAAGGAAATATTAGACTACTGCTGATACAAAGGCAACATTTGTTCAAATCAAGGCAAAAAATTTATTTTTTTTTTTTTTTACACTGTTTATTATATTGTTTATTTGTTATATTGTTTATAGTTTATTCATTGCTAAAGTTGGTCATCTCTGACAATGGTGACCTGGTCAGAGTTAAAATTAAATAAGCAAAAGATACCAAATTAAAAGTTAAAATACCAAGAGACAACCAATCATAAGGAAATGTTAGACTACTGCTGATACAAAGGCAAAATTTGCTCAAATCAAGGCAAAAAAAAAAGATTTATTCTTTTTTATATTTTCAAATAAACACCTTGTCATTGATATAACACAAATTCAACTTGCAGAAATAAAATAAGTCTGGCAAATATGGACCTTCATGCCTGAAACAAATGTAGTGTCAAAAAGACAATTTTTCCTTTGACATTATTATTAGACTAACTACCTTCACTCCTCAACAATATTTATTGTTTTAAAAGACGATGATTAGAATTGTAATTAAACCTAAACATAAAAGTAAATTTATATATTTTCAACGTTCGGTCATTGCCGAGAAGTGAAGGAAGTTAAAATAAACAAGGAAATGGCTCTTATCCAAAATATAGGAGAAAGCCAGAAGATGGAGATCATATCGGCAAGATCACTGAGTAATATTGAAATGCATCTTTTTTCTACACAAATTATAACAATGATTTTAAAATCAATTATCATTTTCTTACAAAATGTATGTGTGACACGCAGCAAGGCGCGGGTAATTCGGTTAGTAAACAATAAGAAGGAAATGGCTTTGCCCTTAGGTTGGTGAGAGACGAATGGGAACAGAGATTGCTAGCTTTTCTGAAGAAGAAAAATTGCGTTCTTCTACCTAAAACCTCCGGGAAACTTGAACCTTCGTGCCCGCCAAAAAACGGTATTTCCGTTGACACCGCTATTATTTTAACGACCTTCGCTCCTCGACAATGTTTATTGTTTATAAAGCGATGATTAGAATTGTCATCAAAACTAAATATATCAAAGTGAATTAATACATTTTATTTGTTCTTGAGAATTGACAACAAAAATAATAAGCACTATTTATTTAGTAGGTTGTTTATTTACAATATTTATTAGACTGTTTATGGGAGTGGTTGTCAAAAAAGCTAATTGCCAATTGATTCGAAGTTTATAAAAACGTTAATTATGCTCGTGTACAAATTAATTGAAACAAAACCAATAATTCCGTTATTATTTACTTTTTTTGTATTTTTCCAATGAAACATGTTCCAGTGTACATGTTATTACTTTGTATGTCCATTCCACAAAGTCGTTACTTGCAGATTGACCACGGATTCTCGATTGGATTTAAATCAGGAGAGTTTCCGGGCCAATCTATAGTATTTTGCTTTGCTCCCTGTTAAGGCTTGCCAGTGTGTTTGTACAGCGTTACAATTTTCTTACGCACCTCTAGGAGTAACGCCCATAGCAGAAAATGGTCGTAGGACAACTAATCGACAGTCGAGACAATAGTGTCTGGCCTTGATAAGAATCTAATGCAATCACGACTGACGCAATATTTTTCAATGCAGTATTTTTCTATATAAATTGTTATATGATGTTAGTTAGTTAGTTTTAATTGTATTAGTTTTTAGAATGTTGTAAATAAAAAAATGTTCTTGTAGGTCTAATAAATAAATAATGTTTAATATTTTTGTTGTCTCCTCTCAAGAAGAACAAAACGTATAAAATCCCTTCATCATTTGTTTAGGTTTTATTACAATTCTAATCATAGTTTTCTAAACAATAAACATTGCCAATGGAGTGAGGTGAGTTAAAACAATATCGATGTCAATGCAAAAACCGTCTTTTTGCCGAACTTAATTTCTACCTATTTGTAATGACGACCATGGTAAGGGAGATAACTCTTATTAACGAAGCCTCATGACAAACACAGGCTAATACATGACGAAAAAACAGAAAAAATTATACGCAGGATCGTATCTATGGGAAGTGGCTCCTATATTAAGTCAGTATAATTGAGCCCTTATCAAAATATCTGATACCCTACCAAAGTTCAAAAAGACTTGATAATGTAATGAATAAATAAATAATACTCGTGGCCGAGGTCTCAGATTCGAAACGGGTTCGAATCCCACCACATTCGATTTGTCAGGAAGAAGATTTCTTTATGATATCGGCCTGGGTAGACGAACCCGGCGTGCAGCACCGTAGAAAATGCGTTCCACGCATTAAGACCTAAATCTTGTAATTAACAGTGGGATGAAGGAACTGTTTTGGAAGCCGTCGATTGTAGTACAATCATGAATTACAAGCCATCGTGACCGAGAGAGTGAGCGTACTCGCTTTGTTCAACCACTGATCACATCAGGTTATGCGCTCTCTCCCAGACTCTGTGACTAAGGTCCGCTTAGTATAGATTCCGTATAAACCATAGATTGGCTGTTCGAGTGTTGGAGAAACACTAATTTAGCTGAGCAGGCATCTGCGACAAAAATTAACTGAAGGATATAATCGTATACAAGCGGCCAGACAAACAACGGTCTCTAATAAAAGCTGGGAAATTCTCTTTTCCATCCAATTTGTCAAGTACTAAGCTTAGTCCGGAAGAAATTTCAAAACGTGGAATCCCACGTGAATATCGAAGTCATAGCCCAATAA